AGTGATCCAGGACAATTCCAAAAGACTCATGATGGAAAATGCTGTCCACATCCAGAGAAAGAACATCTATGGATTCTGAATGCAGATTGAAACATGCTATTTGTTCCATTTTTTTTTCTTTTGTTGTTTTGTTTCTTCTTTCATGACATGATTGCCCATGTATAACCTATATCAGATTGCTTGCTTTGGGGGGGGAGGGAAGGGAGGGAGAAAAATTTGGAACTCAGTCTTAAAAAATGAATGTTGAAAATATCTTTACATGTAATTGGAAAAAGTAAAATACTATTTACATGAAAAAAAATGGCAGCTGACATTTACAAAGGGCTTTAAGATTTTTAATGTGCTTTATGTACATCACCCCATTTGGTCCTTACAACAGCTTTGTGGGGTAGGCGGTATTATTATTCCCATTTTCCAGATGGGATATGGTCTCAGAAAAGTTAAATGACGTTCCCTAGGTTGTTTGATTTGTTATAAATGGTGGGTGTAGGCTCTTCATATTTAAAATTTGTCATGATCATCGGATTTATAGCTCCAGGAATCATCCTAGCTAACCTTTTCATTTTACACATGAGGAAACTGAGGCCCAAAGAGGTGACATATGATATCTGGACTCAGAGAAACCCAGGATTGCTTGGGCAGGATTAAATAGAAGTTCTCTGTACTAAAGCCAGTACTGTACCACGTGGCTCAGGGAAGACAGTTGAGGACTTTTCAAGGCCAAATGATGATTATTTTGAACATGCTACTGTGTATTCTGAATCCCAGGAAGAGAGGGAAATAGGGACTCATGCTGCAAAGAGGGGACATCCTGCCTGGTCCTGGCAGATTGATGGTGGACAATAGCAAAGAGAGTGAATCTGAGACCCAGACAGAGAAGAATCTTTGTCTTCCAGAGACCAAGAGAATTGTAAAGGAAGTAATCATAAAGAAAAAGTGGATTCTGAAAAATAGTTGTGACCCTCTGACAGGGCACAGAGGGGAAGAGGAGCGAATGAAGAGGAAAGCTTAGAAATCACTGTTTAACTACTAGCTCACTTAAAATAAAAGTATACTCATCAGCAGCAGACATGAAAATGAGGACCCCTGGACAAAGAAAGAGTATTGGGGAAAAGCTAGAGGTAACACAGGGAAGGGAAAAGTCCCCACTTTTATGTTAAGTTTAGGGCAGGAAAAAAAACTACGGTTTGGGAATCTGGTGGGGAGAGCCTTTTATTTAGTGAGTGGTCTGCGTGCCAGGGGTGTGGACACATGTGCTTTGTTGTAGGCATGGTGAATAGAGCATTGGATATGGAGTTGGAAGATGTGGGTTGAAGTCCTAGATTTGTCTGTCAGTCACTGTGTGACCTAAGGCAAGTCTCTTTTTCTCTCAGATTCTCAGTTTCCTCATTTGTCTTTTTTTTTTTGCTCTTTTTTTTTTTTGTTGAGGCAATTGGGGTTAAGTGACTTGCCCAGGGTCACACAGCTAGTAAGTGTCATGTGTCTGAGATTGGATTTGAACTCATGTCCTCCTGACTTCAAGGCCAGAGCTCTATCCACTGCGCCACCTAGCTGCCCCTCAGTTTCCGCATTTGTAAAAGGAAGATAATTATACCAACTTCACAATGTAATTCTGTTTGGCGGCGATCAAATGGGAACATTTATAAAACTTTTTGGAATTGTAAAGCTCTCTACTTATGTCAGCTATTTTCATTTTCAAAAATAGATTTTTATTTGTCTTTTGTTTTTACATTGCTCAGATTTCCACTGTATTTTTCCCCTTTCCACTTCCCAGAGAGCCATCACTTATTAAAAAAGTAATTTTTTTTAAAAGAAAGAGGAAGAAAAAAAATTCAGCAAAACACACCAGAAAAAATCTGATATTATATGCAGTGTTCCACATTTCTGGATCATTGTATCTTCCAAGGAGTTGGAGAGGTATCTTCTCATTCTCTTCTTTGGGACCAAGTTTATTCTTTATAATGAAGCAACATTCAGTTTTGATTCTTTTGTGGTGGTTGTTCTTTCTGTTTTCATTGTATGTATTGTTTTCCTGATTCTGCTTACTTTCCTTTTATCGGTTTGTGTAAGTCTTCCCAGGCTTTTCTGTATTCATCTTGTTTCTGACAGGACAGTGATATTCTGTTAGACTCTTATACTACGATTTGTTCAGTCATTCTTCAGTTAATGGGTCTTTACTTTGCAGTTCTTTGGCAGTAATTGTTATTAATAATATTAAAATCAAGTAATACACATATAATTTTAAGTTTGCACAGACATGTTTATCTCAGTGAGGAGCTGTCTGTTGGTAAATCCAGAAGAAAGCTAGAAATATGATTTAAATTGTTATGGGGAAGATACAACTTGTGTTATCAGTGTGGTATTCTTTGTCTGGGGCAATTGGATTGGAACTGAGGCTAGTCTGTTAAGTGGTAGATGTCAAACTATGTATTAACCAAATGTTGAGAAACACAGAGAGGGGCAGCGAGGTAGTACAGTGGATAGAGCACTGGCCCTGAAGTCAGAAGAACCTGAGTTCAGATCTGGCCTCAGATACTTACTAGCTGTATGACCCTGGGCAAGTCACTTAACTCCGATTGCCCCACCAAAAAGCAAAAAAAAAAAAAAGAGAAACACAGAGCAGGGTGTTGTCAATCTCTCTTGTTGTGAAAGTAATAATAGTAGTAGTAATAATAATAATAATAATAATAATAATGATAATAATAATGACAACAATAATAAGAAACTAAGGAAAAAAGGTGAGGCTAGTCTGCACTCCCTGCTGCCCAGGAGGCCAAGGCTAGTGATGGCTGAGCTTGGGAATTCTGAGCTGCAGTAGGTAAGCTGATCAGGGGTCCACACTACATCTAACACCAGTTTGGGGAGCTCCAGGGAGCTCAGTGTATACTAGCTTTCAGTGGACATGGAAAAATGGATACCACTGGAGAACAAGAAAGTTTGGGAAAAAGCTGTGAGTCATGCACAAATAAAGCCAATGCGTCCAAGATTCTAGGGAAGCAGAAAAACTGGAAAGAATTTTTATAACCAGTGTCTCTGATAAAGGCCTCATTTCTCAAATATATAGAGAACTGAGTCAAATTTATAAGGATATAAGTCAATCCCCAGTTCTTTGAGATTCCAGGCTAAGTGTTAATTCCGGATTCCAGTGAGCACAGTGCTTGGCACGTGGCAGGTGTTTGATTGATCATGCAAGAGAATGGTAGAAACTATGCGACACGACACGTTAATAAAGATGCAAAAATGAGCTCCTATCAGTTCCTAGAAAGATAAGATTCAGAGGACAGAAGCTTCCTCTCCTTCACAAATAAACAGGTTGATAATCCAACAGACCAGCTGTACTGGAACCTCCCTCAGAGCATTATCCCACACAAAGCTGTTGTTAGTTACAGTTGCCCATGGATCCATCCTTTTTAATGGCTGTTGCACGACTGAATTCTCACATTCTCCATACTGTGGAAGGAAAATCTTTCAAAATAGAAAAACCCAGCAGAAGAAATTAAATGGTGTGGGATAGGATAAGAGTATGCAGGCCCCCCCAAAATTTACGCTATCGAAGCTCAAAACTGTACCAAGACTTTGGAACACTGTGTATATCATCCGTGTCATCTAGGCGGCTACTGAACTTGCTCCAAAAATGGTTTCTAGTGAGCTTACAAGTGCTGGGCCCATCTTACAGTCTGAGCCTTGATGTATTTACAAAAATGTCTTGTGTCTGCCATTCCACAGAATGCTCAATATATAAGAGAATAACAGAATAATGACTTGTCCTCCTCTTTTTCTACCTGAACTTATCAAACAAGATGAAGAGAAACAAGATGATTTCTCAAATCAAGGTCAAATGGTGGCTTTCTGAGGGACCTGTTAGATTGGAAAAATGTTACTCTCTCAAATGGGTTAGAAATCTGTAAAAACTCACCAAGAGTTGGAATGGTAGAACTATGCACAAGGCTCAAAACTTTTCTGCTACTTTTTAATAAAGGTTCACTATTAGATGGATCGTTTGAATAAGAACACAAGAGTTTTTACACATAGACAAAGAATATTCTGTTTGTTTTTTTAAAGGTCATGTGGTATTTTTTTTATATATGAAAATTTTGTGATCTTTTCTGTGTGTATGGGCATGATTTCCTGTTGGCTCTAAGCATATAAGATATCAGAGGAAAAAGCCATTTAGCTGATAGTTGGTCAGCGAAAGAATTAAGGAAGAGAGCCCTGTCACAGAAGTTGCTTCTGTGATGTTCACCTGATTGTTTTGTGAAAAATACTAAAAGGAGTTTACCCTAGATTTTCTGTGGATTGTTTGCAAATTGAACATTTTAGCTGAAACTTTGTAGCAGTGTGCCTGTTGGTGTGATTAGAAATATATTGGTATAGAGACTGAATCTGATATCTTTGAGACTGTGAACTTTAGAATGAGGAAACTTCTTCCTCCAGTGCACGTCAGCGCTGTCTCTGCTCTGCAGTTTAGGGTTTTATGAGATTTGCCCAGGGGTGAAATGACCTGTCCAGGGCCCCTCAGCCGTCAGAGCAGGACTTGACTCCTGGTTATGAGAGATGCTGTCTCTCCACTCTGTCATGCTGGCTCTCTGTGTGATTAGAAAATGAGTTCTACAAAAAATAAAAATGAAATAAAAAGGGCAGCTAGGTGGCACAGTGGATAGAGCACCGGCTCTGAAGTCAGGAGGACCTGAGTTCGAATCCAGCCCCATGCCAAACACTTGACACTTACTAGCTGTGTGACCCTGGGCAAGTCACTTAACCCCAATTGCCAAAAAATAAAAAGAAAATAAAAAGAAAATGAGTTCTAAATTAAGGAGTTTTTATTTATGCTTGAATAATGTGGGGCTGGGCTCAAGATGTCCTGGAAGTTTTTAAAAAAGGGTCTTTTTTATTTTCCTTCCCTCTTTTATGTTGATGTCTCTCAGGAGAATATTTCTTTTAAATGGCTTTGTGTAAAAATGTTACTTTGTTTTCTGAGTAAACTTTCTCATTCTCCTTAGGCTTGTGTCCGAGACAGAGCCCTTCGCTCCATTCTGGCTGTTAGAAAAGTTAGCAAAGAAGATGCCCAGAAGGCTGTCGATGAGGTTTTTGAATCCTGCTTTAATGACCATGAGCCTTTTGGCAGGATACCACACAGCAAAAGTGATGCAAAGCATGCCCATCGAGACTTTCAGAACCGGGATCGCTATTACTCAAATGTATGAAGACCATGGGGGGCATCTTGTGTTCAGTAATTAACAGTGTTCGTGGAGAAAATATGGTTCATGGACTGAAAGTATGGATCCACATGCCACAGAGGTAAATCCCATTTGTTGGTCAGAGAAATGAACAGCAAGGCAGAAATGAAACTGCCTTGGACTTTTGGATGTTTTTAAGCCTCAAGGCAGGGACTTTTCTTTTTGTCTTTTCAGAGGTTAGTATTTGTGATATTGCCTTCTTATGGCAAATAAATGAGATTTGAGTATTTTCTGCAGCTGTGGTGGTATTCTTTAATATATGTGATTATTTAAAAATTTGTTCTAAAACCTCCTGTGAGGTACATTCACTTCTCTTTGGTGTGGGTGGGTGCCCAGTGGTAGAATTTCCATTTTATAAGTGAAAGAGTAATCATATTATTGGACTGATTCCCTATCACTCCCCATAGAAGCTGTTCTAAACCTCTCCTCAAGCTCCCTACACCTCTCTCTACCTTCACCCTTTCGGTTGAACACCTCACATCTTACTTTACTGAGAAAATAGAGACCAGTCTTGTGAGCTCCTTGTTTTAATCTCAAAACTCATTGGTATTGCCCATAGGTGATATTTTCTCATAGGTGATATATGTGATTCTTGTCCATGTTCTCTCATAAATTCTACCTAAGAGGGTTAAAGAGAGAAGATGAAGTGAGAAAGTCCCTTCAACATGCTGGGATGTTTTGGTGACTTTGTTGGTGATGAAATTTGGACTTTAAAACTACAAATCTGTGTACCTAAATGTCAGTAATTCATGGTTTACAAACCCCTCAGTGACCTATTCTATTGAAAGCCTCATCATGCAGAGTAAAGTGGGTTTTCAGTTTAGTCAACTTGAGTTATATGTTTTCCTCTTCTTTCTTAGCAAATTAGCAGATGCTTTTTAATTTTAGGGCTTAAAAATTAACGAAATGGGGGGCTGCTAGATGGCTCAGTGGATAGAGCACTGGCCCTGAAGTCAGGAGGACCCGAGTTCAAGTCTGGCCTCAGACCAAACACTTCATACTTGCTAGCTGTGTGCCCTTGGGCAAGTCCCTTACCCTCACTTGCCTTAAAAAAAAATAATAAAGTGAATAGGACATCACTTAAAAACTAAAAACCAATGAGTATCATAACAGAATAATTTAAATGGAATGATCAGGGAATTTAGAAAATTGTCTTCATCTCCCTCAGTTGAATGAAGCGAAAACTGGTGTACCTTAAATGTTCTGTAGGTCATAGAACTGGGAAGGATCTCGAAGGTCCTATCATCCATTTCCCTCTTTTTACATTTGAGGGAAATGAGGCAGAGAGAGGTTGATCACCTTGTCTTTCTTAACTGTTCTTCTTTTTGCTTGTGTTTGTATTCTCAGTGCTTAGCATGGTACCTGGCACACAGTAAACGTTTAATAAATGCTTGTTGACTGGCACAATGTCATGCAGATAGTAAGTAGCAGAGTCAGGATGCAGACCCTTGTCCTTTGGCTCCATATCCCGCCACTGTTTTTCCCATTGTATCACATTCCCTAATGCCCAACATAATGCAGGTGGGATCTCTGGCCTTTAGTCAGTCAACATTTGGATTCTGTCTGTGGCCTGTAAGTGTCTGAGGTAATCAAGGCTTTCTTTAAAACACACATACTTTGCGCCTGCATGGGCCTGAGCCCGAATCGTCAAGAGGGGGGGCAGGGAAGGGGTGTCGCTGCGGCAGAGAGGCCCGGTGGTCTCCAATACCCTGTGGCAGAGCTGGTGGGTGGGGGAGGGGCCGGGAAGGGAGGGCGCCCCAGGCCGTGGAGAAGCCACCTCAGGAGGGTCGCTGCTGCCCCGTGGGGAGGGCCGGTGATGACGTCGGGTGGGACACTGCTTGTGTCCACGCTGCGCCCCTTCCCCGTTCACCGCCGGGCCCCCCTTCACTCCGCAGATGCCACTGTGTACATGGGGGGTCTGGACAAGGTCAGTGAGCCGCTGCTGTGGGAGCTCTTCCTGCAGGCTGGGCTCGTGGTCAACACTCACATGCCCAGGGACTGGGTCACGGTTCAGCACCAAGGCTGTGGATTTGTGAAATTCCTGAGTGAGGAAGATGCTGACTATGCCATTAAGGTAATGAACATGATCAAACTGTATGGGAAGCCAATACGAGTGAACAAAGCATCAGCCCACAACAAGAACCTAGACGTGGGGGCCAACATTTTCATAGGGAACCTAGATCCTGAGATTGATGAGAAGCTGCTGTACGACACCTTCCGTGCCCTTGGGGTTATTTTGCAGACTCCCAAGGTCATGCGGGACCCTGACACAGGCTACTCCAGGGGCTATGCCTTTATTAATTTTGCTTCATTCGATGCCTCTGACACAGCAGTTGAGGCCATGAATGGGCAGTACCTGTGCAATCGACCCATCACAGTATCTTATGCCTTCCAGAAGGACTCGTGGCTCTGCAGCCGAGTGACTTCTGGCGGCACGGAACCTGTTAGTGCAGGCAGATTGGCCACATCAGCTGTTTGCTGATGCACCACTCCCACCCTCTACCCCTAATCTACTGTGTCTTCTTTGGGATCTGGGCTTCCTCCATGAGGTATGCCCCCGCCAGGCTCATTCCCACCTCCAGTGCCACCTCCTGGAGCCCTTCCTCCAGGTATACCCCCAGCCATGCCTCCCCCACCTATGCCTCCTGGGGCTGGAGCCCATGGCCTACCATCAGCAGGAACCCCTGGGGCCGGACATCCTGGCCATGGACATTCACATCCCCATCCATTCCCACCAGGTGGGATGCCTCATCCCGGTATGTCCCAGATGCAGCTCTCCCACCATGGTCCCTATGACTTGGGACACCCACATGCAGGGCCCCCAAGCTCAGGGGGACAGCCTCCTCCGCGACCACCGCCAGGAATGTCTCATCCTGGCCCCCCTCCTATGGGAATGCCACCCTGAGGACCCCCCTTTTGGATCTCCCATGGGTCACCCAGGCCCCATGCCTCCCCATGGTATTTGAGGACCTCCTCTGTTAATGCCCCGACATGGATACAGTGGTCCCCCTCGACCTCCACCTTATGGCTATGAAAGAGGACTCCTTCCCCCACCCTCCCCTCCCCTCATCTGCCTGTACCTCCTCGTGATCCACTTCGGGGTCCCCTTCCTCAGTAGAGCCAAATTTCTCTACAACCTATTGCACTCCTCTAAGACTCTCCCTGTCTTTTGGACCAGTCAGAGGAACTGTTGACCCCTGGGCCTGGAGCACCCCTTTCTCCCTCAAATTTGTCCTTTTTTCCAGTGTGATTTTTTTCCCCACTGGATTTTTTTCTATGTTGGGCTATACTTCTTTCCCAGATATTGACAATTAATAAAGCTGTTTAAAACACACACACACACACACCACACACACACACACACACACACACACACACTTTGGGGCAACTTCCAACTTGTGATTGAAGTGTGGACTGTACAATTAAATCAAACTTTTACCTTGGAAGTTTCCCGTACAGACAGCCCAGACCACACCATAACCACACCATAATGTTGTATTGTACGGCTGATCTTTGATTCTTCTCTATGTCCTATATGCTTAGAAGTGTTTTGTGGCACTTTATAGAGGGAAAGTAGGATATGTGCTTTTGAGAAACAGCTTTTACCATTAAGAACTAGTAGTTAACCATTTTCGAGGCAGTTGGATGGCTCAGTGGACAGAGTGCTGAGCCTGGAGTCAGGAAGAGATCCGAGTTCAAATCTGCCCTTAGACATTTACTAGCTGTGTGACCCTGGGCAACTTACTTAACCCCATTTGCCTCACTTTCCTCATCTGTAAAATGAGCTGGCAAACTACTCCAGTATTTTTGCCAAGAAAACCCCAAGTGGGGTCATGAAGAGCCAAACATAACCTATTGACTGAACAACGAGTTGCTGTTTTACTTCATGGAGGAAAAAGAGAATATCCTAAAAGAGGTTTACAGTGAGGCATGGGAGCCCTCGAGTGCTTTTTGACATGAGAATCCTTGAATACCTAACATGACCACTTGTCAGGTTAGGAGATTCCATCCATTCCTTGTCCATGCAGCTGCTATGTTGATGACCACGAGAGTAATAAGAAAATGGGAGAGAATAGACTGGGAGATTGGAGGCCCAGCTCAGAACCTAGCTTGGTGACTGTGTAGAAGTCATGGGGTCCCTTTCAGGTCTAACAGTCTATGAATCCCCTTCCTAGTTTTGCCCCTGATCTTCTGTGCAGCTTGCTCGGAAATTGTGAAATCTTTGTTGAGCTGAGGGACATCCCCCAACTCCCATGACAGATCCCTCTCTCAGAGACTACTATTCCAGGTTTAAGGTACTCTGTGGTTCCATATCAATTCAACATCACAATTCACGCCCCTTCCCCACCCCAATATATTTGTCTTTATTAGTAAGAGAGTTCAGAGCAAAAACATTAATGAAATGACATAGAACAGTAACAGTAAAACATTCTTCATAAATCTGGGGCCCACTCTCCCACAAATACACACAGATCTGGTAGGGAAGAGTGGACACACTTAGAGACTGAGTGGGGAGAAGCACATTTATAGGGAACGTGTGGCCAGGGTGCACATATAAAGAGCACATGGCCAGGACACGTGTGGAAAGGCACACATGTAGGGAGTAAAAATGGCTAGGCTGCATGTGTGTAGTACAGCTAGGTAGCACAGTGGATAGAATGTCAGGCCTGGAGTTAGAAGGCTCATCTTATGTTCAAATCTGGCCTCACAGGGGAGCTAGGTGGCACAGTGGATAGAGCACTGGCCCTGGATTCAGGAGGACCTGAGTTCAAATCCAGCCTCAGACACATAACACTAGCTGTGTGACCCTGGGCAAATCACTTAACCCCAGTGCCTAGCCAAAAAAAAAAAGAAAGAAATTATAAACAAATCTGGCCTCAGACACTTATTAGCTGTGTGACCCTGGGCAAGTCACTTAACACTGCCTCAGTTTCCTCATCTGCAAAATGAGCTGGAGAAAGGAAATGGCAAGCCACTCCAGCATCTGTGCCAGGAAAACCCCAAATGGGGTCATGAAGAGTTGGACGCAACTGAAATGATGGAACAATGACAACATATAGGGCTACTCATGTAGGGAAAACATATGGCCAGGACACATATCTCTGAGAAGACAGTGTAGACTTCTGACAACATAAGGCTTCTGACGATGCCATACGCTCCTGCTGGACTCCGCTGCCATGCTCTGCTAGATCTATCTGTTGGACATGTAGTCTTTCCAAGACAATGCTCCCAGTGG